ACCAGGTTGAGGATCACGCTCCCTGCCTCACCTAAAAGGTGTTTTAAGGTTGGGTGCCTAGCGTGTAGTCAGTCCCACATCGAAGCGACCGACGCCTAAATAATTTAAATCAATCCATTACCGATCGATGCCCCGAAACCCAAATGAATGTGCTCTCAGAAGCTAGATGTTATGCATCTGACAGAGAAACACGTATTTCAGAACTGTATTAACTTGCTGTACCCCTCTTCCCCATTCATCTCTATCCATTAGTCTCCATCCCCTCCAGTTCTTAATCTCACAGACAATCGATCCGTGTTCTCCTCCCGTTAATTCCGCACGTCGAATGCTCTCGATAAAAGGTTCGCCCTTTCTTTTATTTTCCGTTTCGCATTCTCACCCAGTGTATTTCCTCCATCCTCCAAATCAGCGTATGTGACCTTGTCCACTTTGTGTTCCATTTGCACTGCCTTTTCATTCCGGTCCATTGCCGTCTCCATTGTGTATATCCTCTGACTGAACCTTCTATACATCTGCAACTTTGATGTACATATGACTATTTTGAACATAAGATCATGCTCTGTGCATGCTTCATGGGCTTCGTGAAATATACATTATTATTATTATTTGTTTCATCGGATGTCAGGATGGGAACCATATTGACGTATCTTCAATCGGTCATTGCTTGATTCACACCATTTGAATCATTAGTTGCATTATGGTATCAGGTGGCCCTCGTCGGTTCCAGCGTCCGTGATCGTTGGCGTGCCAGAATAAACGAAGTATACCACTTTTTGTTCATGTATGCAACCGTCGAAACGTAAATCTTCTTCAACAAACTCTTGAGATCCAAAGAGACCACGATCGTGCGAGAGAGTGCCAAAATTCTCGTTGAACCTCGAGGCATCCAATGTGCGTTTCGTATGACCTGATATCTGGAAGTCAAAGATTGTTGGAGAAAACCGCCAACGTTCAAAATTGCTGCATCAATCATAAACAATCATTGAGCATACAAAACAAATATCGAGATAAGGCATCTCGTGATACGAGTCGTAATAGTTATCACTCACGCTATACGCTTGTGTGGATCGTGTTTTGCTCAATCCCGCAGACGGGCAGGCAAAACAATCCTTCGACCTGAACGTGAGACTAATGTCTTGTCATGGTCTGATAAGGTGTTCTTACACTGCTGATTTGAACGTGAGACAGTTGCCCCATTCGAAATTGTAGCAGGATCTGATAAAAATTGTAAAAAAGAGATAGAAGGGAAATTTACCACGCTAGAGAGAGAGCTGTCGCTTCTCAAGAAAGAGAACGACATTACCATGGGCAGGAACAGGAACATCCTCATTTATAACAATGAGGAGCCGGTAATTCGGAATGCGAAAGCCCGAGCAGACATAGAACATAGGAAAGCACGGGACCTCTTGAGACTCGTTAGGTTACCCCCACATGCACTCATCAAAAGGGTGCAGAGGGTCGGCCGCTGGATCGACCCTGCAGGCAAACTGCAGCTGCGAAAACCTAAGCCCATCTTAGTGGAATTCGGCAATCCCGCAGTCCATGACCAATTGCTTAATAACTGTGAGAAAATTCAGCGAGTCACTGGGGGAGGTATTAGATCACACCTGATGCCCGAAAGCAGGATACATGGCAGACCCCAGAGCAGGACCATGCACCCGCGATAGTGAAGAGCAAGGCGACAGGAAAGACCATCATCAAGGTAGCCGCCGTAAAGGCAGGACCAAAACCGGTGAAGAAGCTTGGAATCAAGGGGGAACCTCGCGAGCACCCAAAGGCTGGGGTGCAACCAATGGTGCAGAGGGCAAAGCCCCCAGTAGTTAAGTTTATTAGAAATCAAACTTCACTTTCGATTGTCCCACTGGAGGCAGTAACGGCCGTGGGGCGACCGCTCAGCGCCACACCTAACGTAAAATCTCATACGCCGGTAGTGCCTGGGGTTTAGCCGAAGTAGGAAAAACTATTGCCTCCCCCGACTAAAATCGTGGACCTGACGCTGACGCCGATTGTGGCCACCAGGTCTACTCAGACCCCAGAGTCTAGAAAGACCAAAGTAGGGGCCCAGGGACAAAGCCCGGAGCTAGAGACGTAGGAGAGATGTTCAATGGCCACCGAAACTGGAGACGAGGGCGGCTCGTTAATCACTGGCACTGTTATCAAAATGGCGTCTAGCCCCACCAGGATGAGGTTCCCCGAAAGGAAGATAAACTGCTCCATGCAGGATGTAGAGCGAATTATTAGGTTAAAAAAGTTGGCCCTCGGGTGTTACGCTCGAGAGCACTGATAACTTGAGGGACAAACACCCACAAGCCCCGCTTTTCCAGCCACACAACCTAAAATTGTGATACACGAATGTGTGCAGCGTTGGAAACAAATGAGGTGATCTAGCAATTAGGAACAAGGATTTTGACATTGTGATCCTTACTGAAACTTGATTATCCAAAACCATATCAGTCGAACGGCTAGCCCCTCCAAACTTTACCCACTACAGAAGCGATATGGAGGGTGGGTGAGGGGGCGGGGTCCTACTGGTCGTTCGTCTGCATTATATCCAGTGGGAAATGCATGAGCTAACACTTTGTACCCCAAAAGTGCAAGAAACAGACTGTATTGTAAGAAACAGAGGCCGACACTTTTGCATATTAGGTGTCTACAAATCACCAAACTCCAGACCGGAGGATGATAGAGTGCTAATAAACCCCAAACATGCATTGCGAAGGAAAAGCCACCCCTCAGGTGGTGCGGCAATTTCGGGCGAATAAACGTAGAGGACTTGAAGCGAGATGCCCAAGCCAGAGCGTGGTTCCCGTTGAGAACAGAAGCGTCCGTCGATCAACGATGGGGGATAATCCGCGACCAGCTATTAGAGCTGGCGGAGAGGCATGCTCCCTTGCAGCCTCGGGGTATACCCACAAACCGCAGTGGTGGAAGCCGGCCATTAAACGCGCCACAGGAGAAAGGACTCGAAGGTGGAATGCATTTTTTCTCTCAGAAGGACATGAACGATGGCTCCAATATAAGAAGGCGAGAAACTATGCAAACAAGCTAGTAAAACAGGCGAAAATGACCTTCGAGGTTGAAATCATCAAGAGAGCGCGCCAGGAATCCAAGAGGTACTATGGCTATGTGCAATCGAAGGCTGCACTAAGACAATCGGTAGGCACTCTGGAGAACCCCGGAGGTGGGCTGTCTGTATCAGATTATGAAAAATGTGAGACGCTCAGGAGGTATTTCGAAACCGTCTATAAAATAGACGATGGGCGTGCGGTCCCTCGAGAGCTTTTAGACACCCCTCCAATGGATGATGTGGAAGTTTCAGTTAGTAGAGTTCTCGATGTCATGGAGGGCTTGAATTTAAACAAGTCCGCTAGCAGCGACGGGCTACATTCGGCCATCATCAAATCACTAGCTCCTGCGCTCNATGACCGCACTCTACCAGGAGTCCCTAAGGGCTGGGAGAGTACCTAGTGATTGGGCGACCGCCACAAGGGTAGCCATCCACAAGAGTGGAAATAGAAAGCAATCTGGTAACTACAGACCCATAAGTCTGACCAACGTGCTGTGTAAGGGCTTAGAAACCATTGTTAGAAATGCTCTCTGTGAGCACGTCACTCAACATAGGTTGATTAGCCCTGCCCAGCAGGGCTTTCTCAAAAAGAGGTAGTGTCTGAGCAACCTTCTTTGTTTCTTAGACGAAGTTACAAAAAGGTTAGATGGAGGTCAGAAAGTNAAGTCGAAGTGTGCTACCTGGACTTCAGGAAAGCTTTCAACTCGGTAAATTACCGGCTCCTGCTAGGAAAACTCGGGGGTTTTGGTCTCGCAATAGCTCTAATTGGATGGATAGAAGCCTTCCTCACCAAACGGACCTATAGAGTTCAGGTGGGAGAAGCTCTGTTTAATGTTGGCAGCGTATCCAGCGGAGTGCCTCAGGGTTCAGTGCTAGGCCAAGTGCTCTTTCTGCTGATGGTAAATGACTTGGTCCAAAAGCTAGCGGTTCCTACCTTCATCTTTGCCGATGACGTCAAACTGGTGAACTCAGGACCTGTAGATCAACTGGAGGGGATCTAGCTAAGGTGGTCTAGTGGACACATAAGTGGGACTTGGAGCTAAACGCCACCAGGTGTCACGTTCTAAATACCATGAGGCTTCCGGTTTGCGTGGCAACGACCACGGAACCGACGATCTTTGCTCGCGTAGACCGAATGCAGGATCTGTGAATTTCGGTCCGCGAGGATTTTAAGCCCGGTGATCAATACCTAGCTGCCGCACAACAAGCGAGAGGGCAATTGTTCCCGCTTAAGGTGGCCTTGTCGTCAAGGAAGGTTAAGGTTTTCCCACCTCTGTATAAGGCCATAGTTAGACCTCAGTTAGAATACTGCGTGCAAGTTTGGGCGCCTTACTTTCAGAAGGATATCATTGTCATTGAGAGTGTTCAACGGTTGGCTACTAGGATGGGATGACGGGTAAGTCATAAAGAGAGAGGTTAGAATCCCTAGGGCTTTTCTCCATGAATAGGAGACGCCTGAGAGGTGACATTATTGAGACCTTCAAAATAATGAAGGGGCTGACTGAGTTAGAGACAGACAGCCTGTTTACACGAACACCGCTCGAGTCAACAAGGGGGAACCATCTGAAGCTAATGAAGCCCGGAAACCAACTTAATCTTAGACACAACGTCTTCACAAGTAGAGTGATAGATGAGTGGAATCAACTACCATCTTTACCACTAGACTGTAGGATAGTCGAGGAGTTCAAAAGGCAATTAGATGAAGTCTGGATCAGCCTCCTTCCCGAGATTTGGTAGAGTGCCTACTCTTGAGCGTAGCCGTTCCATGCTGCGTATTCTCGAATAACCTCCCATTTCAGATACGGACCCCATAAGGGAGGCTGTTCCAAACGAAGAAATCGACTGTGGTCAAACGGTAGACAAGAAGTCGAAGCTCCGGAAGAACGTGGTTCCAGCTGGAGCAAGAATCTGGACGCTCGGTTGGCCAAAGCCTTTATTGTCCTGTGCCACCTAATCTGACCTGATCTAGGGTACTGCTATCTGCGAGCTCTGAGGTAGGTGCCTCAATCGTCGGCCGTGCAGGAATAAAGTCGGGTCTCAAACTGGCGTACACTATGCCATCGTCGACATGTGCTGCCTTGATCCGTTCAATGTTAATCGTATCGACACGACCATGTCGATCAACCTTGAAGAACTGTTCTTGACGCGAAATAAATTGGAAAGGTCCTTCGTATGGCTGTTGTAACGGTTTACGCACCGCATCAATTCGAATGAATACGTGCGAACAGGTTACGAGTTCAGTGGGTATGAACACCTTTCGTTGCTGTACTCGAGTTTGTGCCGGAGACAGGGATTGCATAAATGTAGGCAAACTTTGCAGGTAGTCCTGTATTCCAATGGAATCCGTGTTGCGTGGCATGAAAAATTCTCCAGGCAGTCGTAATGTAGTGCCGAAAACCAGCTCAACAGCTGTACATTGGATATCTGCCTTTACGCAATTTTTGATGCCTAACAGAACAAGAGGTAACTTCTGGCACCAATTAAGGTTCTCGTGTGCCCGAAGGGCACCGTTAAGTTGACGGTGAAAACGTTCGACTATACCGTTAGATGCTGGATGGTAAGCAGTTGTGCGAATGCTTTCCGTACCCAGCAATCGTGTTAGCGAACAGAATAATTCTGATTCGATTTGTGCTCCTCTATCAGTCGTGACAGTAGAGGCACA